AATAAAAATAATAAAATAGTAAGAAAATGATTCTTACTAGCACAACCAAATTCAAATGTAGGTGATGATGGAATAGCAATAGGTGATGCATAAACTACCGCGCAATAAATGGTGCAAAAGAAAAAAAGATAAAAGAGTGATTTTATCATATTCATAATATACTAGAAATAATAAATTTGAATATATAATAAGTTTGAATTCTCAATTAACCAGAATGGAGAATCCCTTTATTGGTAGTAATTAAGAAATATACGTGAAGTTTTGAATTCTCAATTAACCAGAATGAGAATCCTTTTGTATCGATAGTAATGGTAGTAATCAAAAGTGCGAATGAAATATGGAGCTTTTTGGTCATATATTTATAAAAAAAATATATATATAGACATTACTTTAAAATTCGCTTCTAACCAAATTTCTTGTGATTTAATGAAAAATCACAAATTTGTCTTGATTCTATAATCTCAATTCCAACGATTAATTACATTATACATGCTCATTTAATGGTGCTTAAATAGTTTAACGGCAGATAGTGTTATGGATTTAATGTTTTTCAGTTTCAAATTATGAATTAAGAAAAGGAAAAGCTTGTAGATTGGTCAACCATCGTTCAATTTATCGAATTCAGATTTTGTAAAATTGAAAAGTTTTTTTTTTTATTTATAATATCAGTATGGTTGATCAGTCTGGTACACCATACTTACAGCTATTATTATATGTAATAGCTGGTCAGAATGTATGGCATACTGATCAGATATTATTATAAATTAAATTATTATATCGAATCAATATGGCATGGTCTTTTGTTGAAAATCCATATCATACTGGTCTGGTTATAGCTGACACCGAAATACTAAACTGCCCACCACCTCCTGAATGTGTGCCAGGTTGGCGGCATTAATCATCTAAAAAATTTGCACCAACAAAAAAAAAGTACAAATTATAATAAATTTTAAAACGTATAAGCAACGCTCGTGGGCATTATTTGAAAATCGGGCCCTTCAAAATTATAGTTTCGAATTACCGTCTCGAATTAATTGTTGCAATAATTGATATATGAGAATCTAATAATTAAATGTGTGCTTAAATCCATGTGCAGTCATATGATTTCAATTATTTAGTATTGAGATTAGGTAAAGGCATGCATATATGTAAAATTGCCTTCCAGACATTTTTAATTAGTAGCCCAGGATAAGTTTGGATAGTCATTTTCATGGTTTGCTTTTTTTTGACTGTCTTTGCCTCGTCGGGATGATCGTGTTGATCAAAATAACCAATTTTATTGGATATATGTCACGTGATTGCGCACGACTTAAAACGCCCCTTAAATAAGCAAAATGATCATTCTAACAGCTCTTTACGGCTAGTGTTAGGATGGGTAGGTTCGTATTATAAATCATACTAACAGCTCTTTAGGGCATCCATAATTTACATAAATTACCAGTAGAAATAGAGACCTTAAGAACAATACCAGTTTAACGTAAATTATGGATGTCTCCTTATAATTAGTGTTAGAATGAATAAGTTCGTAATTATAAAAACATTCTAACAGCTCTTTATGATTAGAGTTAGGATTAGAAAGTTCGTATTATAAATCACTCCAACAGCTAATTATGATTAATGTTGGATGAAAAAAAGTTCGTATTCTAACAGTTCTTTATGATTAGTATTAGGATGAGAAAATTCGTATTATAAAATCATTCTAACAGCTCTTTATGGTTAGTGTTAGGATGAGAAAGTTTGTGCAATAAAAATGATTTTTTACAATAAAAATTACAAATCTTATGTTCTCAAATGAGAGCATAGTTTTCATATATTGCGATCTTAATTTTAATGTTCTTGTGAATATTGAGAACACTAGATTTCCAACACTGGATACATCCAATTGTAAAGATGATTTACAATGGGATAAAGCTAGGCACGTAAATATTTATATAGGATTACGAGGATATGATTTCGGTATCAAGGTTTCACATTTTGCTTAACATTTAGTGATATAGATCACGAACTTTATCACTATAAATTAAAATATAAAGTTTTTTGCGATTAACAGAAATTTTAACTTTTCTCACTAATATAGATGCAGACATATAATTCATGACATAATGTTTTTGTAGCATCCAGGTCGTAACTCAAGACGTGACCGACACGTCAAAAAGCTACAACTGACGTTTGTCATAATATCGGTTATATAGCATAACTTTGACTTATGTCATAATCCCAGATATTGTCATAACGTTTGACGATACAAATCATTCTCATATAGTAAACTTTTAATATGAAGACCAATTAAAAAGTATCAAAACCGGTCCATTTAAATTATCTCAGGATAATGAATTTTATACACATTCGATACAATGGATAGCGAATTTATTAATAAACCTACGATATAATAAATTTTTTAAAATTTTACTAATAGACTGGGTCACTTCACTAAAATGAGAGTGACTTATAAATAGTTCTTTATGTAGTATATTATATAATGTAAATTCTCGAAAAAAACTTTTTATTAAGAATGTATCGTGTATTGTAAATAAAGATTTAATAATTAGATGCATTCACTCAAATTTTTTACATTTAAAGTGATTAAATTAAAGCTTTGAATTTCTTTTAATGTGAATAAATTTACAATATAGTCCCTCTGCTAGAATTTTTCACATTTTGCAGTATAATGTCTTGGATTAATTTTTTGCCCTTGGTAACATATTCCCATACTTTGTCGAAAACGGTCAACCTCGTTTGTCTCTTTTTTGAGGTCGATCATTGTTAGTTTCTGATTCAGGCGGTGAAGTAGCATCGGCACAAGGTTCTAATGGTATGGGAATGCCAGAATCTATTTCATCAGTTAAAGGCATGTTGACGACTTTTATTTTATTAATAATATCCGCTTTTAATTTATTGACTTTTTAAGAAAGTTTTAATTTTTCAATACTGTATTCGTACAATTTATTTATTTATTTATTTCAAAGTTAAATTATGTTTATCATTACATTTATCAAATTAAGTTACGTTTATCACGTCCTGCATCACGTCTAATAATAGAATTATGGTCAAAAGCTTAGTTGAGACAAGTATCAGTTACTATGACATACGCTGTTACGGTACTTTTGATGTAACCCGCCCATCTTTTTGATGTAATCATACGTCACTGGGGTGATAAATCAACTAAGTAATCAAAACTATGCCAGAAAACTATAAAATTTGATATATTTCAAATACAGATACAGTCAGACCTCCCTAAGTGCACTTCCCTAAGTGCACGGACTATGTAAATTCTCTCTAAATGCACGGTATAGTCCGGTCCCAACCTATAAGAGCTCTATATAATTTGCTCTCTATAAATGCACACCCTCTCTAAGTGCACACTTTTTAATTTTTTTCCTATGGTCCCGACGGGGTGCACTTAGGGAGGTCTGACTGTATTGATTTTCGATAATAGATTAAAACTGATATTTTATTACGTTATTATTAAGTCAGTCTTATAAATGTTTCAACTCACTATTGAGACATGCAATTACCATGAAACTTTCACAGGTTGTTTGTAAAGTATCCAAAAACAAGGATATGTTATTTAAATTCTCTATTAAAATGCAAGTTTTGGTTTTCGTCTTGCAGAATGTTCTAAAATTTCGTCGATTTGAACAAAAAAGCTTTATCTTAAGCATGCAAGTCAAAATTTAATTAAAATTTTGCAAAAAAACCAACATAGTTACATTGAGATAGTTCTGGCACAGTGTTTTCAATAGAAAGAAATTAGATAAATAAGTACAATATTCGCGTGAAAACTTTAGAATTTCACACTTTTCTTTATAATTAAAAGGTTTAAAAACGTTTGATCGATCATTTTTTAATTTTGCTGATAAAAATCTGATCATAATAAAATGATCAATATAGCCGACATAGTTTTGAATACTTATTTGATTTATCACCCTAGTACTGTATACTAGAAATTTAATTTGTTTATTACTGATAGAATCATGGAATTTCAAAGTAAAAAATAAGGAAGTTTAGTATATTTTTTTATTGAGATATATATATATATATATTATTACAATAAAATTTAGAAGTAGACACTTTGTGCAACCAAACATGTTCCAGGATATAAATTTGTCTATATGTTATTTATATATATGATAAGTCTTTATATAGTATAATATTAGTTGATATACATACACATCAGAAGTAATGTTAAATAAATAGGCAATCAAAAATCAGAAATCATCGATTTCTTTTTTTTTTTTTGATCTGCAAATTTCACATTTTTTTGCAAACCGCCGTAATAGACGGCAGCGATTTTATTAGTAAAATTATGACCTAATTTTTTGATCGTCGCTCTTAGCCAATCAAAATCAAGGATCTGCTGCGCATTTTTTGTGCGGCACCTAGAAATTGTACCATCGCTACCCGGATGTTATTAAACTACCCGGGTAATTTATTTATAGTTATATAAATGCAATTCGTATGCACAAACGCGTGTGCATATTTTTTGTTACACTAAATTACAAATCTTAACATATGATCTTCATAATATTTATAACATTTTTGCATCAAAAACGTGACCTGACGGTAGGCACGTGACACGTGACTACTGACACAGCAACACGTGACTTATCTTCTTATCGGCACAGCAATGATCGGCATAAGTACCCCAAATTTCTGTCCAATCAAAGAATCATAGCAACATATTCGTATCAGATATATATATATATGCATGCATATGTAAAATGATTTTCACTTGTTCATGAGTTTGAATTTAATGATAATAATATCAATTTTGATAATAGGGGTGTGGCGACTTAGTGTAGTGGTCTAGTCGTCACCCTCTCCAAGTGGCAGATCTAGAGTTCAAATCCTACGGACGACGATATTTGAAAAATAGGCTTGTGTATCGGTTGACAGCTAATGCTTATCGGTTGGATCTAATCTGTAACTTCGGTCACACCATCTAGAAATGGAAGTTTTGGTGCAATAAATCTGAGGAACCGGCATAACCGAAAACTCATTTGGGAAGACCAAAGTTTGGAGGTAGTAATGATCTTTGACAGTATCACAGGAGGG